CTTCACCAAAGGTGACCGGGTAACCCAGCTCTGCTGGTGGAGGAAACGAGGCAGAAAGGAACACACATGGACTCTCGGAGGGCTGCCTGGCTGCAGTTCCCAGGCAGGGGCTGCAAACTGAACAGCAAGATGCTCCAGCTCGCAGTGGGATGGGCAGCAGGACTCTGCCCCCTCCCCGCCCAACGTCAGCAGGGGGCAAGGGGCCAGCCAGCTGCGGCCAGTGACCCACCATTCTGCTTTTTCATCCTGATCCGTAGCCACCTCAGTCTGACATTCATGGCTTGTAGCAGTTTTATCTCAAGCTTTGAGAAAGGTGAGGGACTTAAGAAAACTGCCCTGGTGGGGATGGGAGGGGGGTGGAGGGAGGGAAAGCTAAGAGTACTGGGTCCAGTCGCAGCAACAGCCTGTTTTATCAGCTTCTCCACTCTGTCATGTTTGCATTCGCACAACCGTGTAGATTTATTCTGGTTAAGTGTGTCAAAACCTCCTGACAACCAGGACTTCTAGCCTTCAATCGTCGCTGGCTTGGTTTTGCTTCCTATATATCTAGGCAGCTGTCCCGGCATTTTTGTGTGTTTGGGAGGGAAGAAATTGCCACGGTATCCCAAGTGCATGAAACACTGTCCCTCCCTTGCAAACACACCTGGGAATGTGAAGCTGGTGCAGGACCAGGACACGGCCTGAAGGGCTATTATGGGATAGAAGAAATACTTGCAGGGGCGAATTTGTTCTTGCTCCCCACTTGCATGCACATATCCCAAGAGCACCCCCCCACCCCACCCCCAATACTAGCAGCGGGCATTCTATTTTTTCTGTTCATGCACCTGAGCTATGTTTGAGTGCCTTTGCTTTCAGCATTAGGCCTGCTGCTACCCACAACTCGAGGGCACCCTGCCCTTGGGGCTCCACGTTCCAGACGTGGCAACATAAAAAAAACCCACAGAGGCAGGACAAGAGGGCCCTTCAGAGGGACGCTCTCCTCTTCCTTCTCGCTGTTGGAGCAGGACAATCTGAGCACAAGGATGGGAAGACCCCAACTCAGCCTACACAGAGCCGCTGCCATGCGCCATGAATACAAAACACGATTGCATACACCCACTGCCATACAGTGGGCAGAAGGTACACTTTAACCAGGAGCGGCAAACCTGCTCCTCTTTCAGAAAAGGCTGGTCAGAACGTTACCCTGTCCTCAACACCCTCTTTGCTAGCTCTCTCCCTTGCTCTTTTCAGGGGAAAACAACCTCTTATACGGTATCCAGAGCTTTAGGTGAGCAGGCTGTGACCCATTTTCAACATAAACCTACCAGCTAGAATAAATGCTGGTTCACTTAAGCACAGGCATGCATCTCTCTGCAGAATGAGGACGCGGAACCCACAGAGGTTTACTTCCTGAAACATGGCCATTCCAAACATTTTTGCTGCCCCAAGCAATTGCACCGTGGTCTACACGAGGGGCACCTAGAATTCACTGCAATTTCACAAAAAGAATGCTGGGAAATAACTCTCAGATCAGGGGGGGTTGTGAATTGGCACCACCTGTGCAACACTGTGAGGGATTCTTGGAGCTCACACCTGAAACACTCCTCGCACAAGCCACACTGAAACAAATGGGAGTTGTGATGGGGAACTGTCCAAAGAGTTGTGACCCGTGCCTAGATGGACATAAGGAGGAGCATTGCCTGAGCAAAGATGACACTTCAAATGTCAGGCTGGGATGATTACTTGCAAGTAATAATACAGTGGTACCTCGGGTTACATACACTTCAGGTTACATACGCTTCAAGTTACAGACTCTGCTAACCCAGAAATAGCACCTCAGGTTAAGAACTTTGCTTCAGGATGAGAACAGAAATCGTGCTCCAGTGGCGCGGTGGCAGCAGGAGGCCCCATTAGCTAAAGTGATGCTTCAGGTTAAGAACAGACCTCCGGAACGAATTAAGAGTACTTAACCTGAGGTACCACTGTAATACTTTGCATTTATAGTGGCTTTTTGAAACGTTTGAAGGTTTTGCCACGTATCATCTCTCAGTTGTTCTTGCAACAGTCGTATTAAGTTAGGCTACCATTACAGTGGTACCTCAGGTTAAGTACTTAATTTGTTCCGGAGGTCCGTTCTTAACCTGAAACTGTTCTTAACCTGAGGTACCACTTTAGCTAATGGGGCCTCCCGCTGCCGCACAATTTCTGTTCTCATCCTGAAACAAAGTTCTTAACCTGAGGTACTATTTCTGGGTTAGCGGAGTCTGTAACCTGAAGCGTATGTAACCTGAAGCGTATGTAGCCCAAGGTACCACTGTATTATCAACAAACTGGAGACCGAGGCTGAGAAATAGTGGCTCACAGGGCGGCACCCTAACTTGCCATATTAAACAGTAAGATTGCCAGAGTCCTCTTAATCAGAGAATCCTATAAGACAGGTCTGTCCAACTCCCAAGAGACTGCGATCTGCTCCCAGTGTACAAAAACTGGCAGTGATCTACCAATTGTCATTGAGGATTGACCAGAGTTGTTGAGCTTTTTTGGGGGAGAGCAAAGTTGTGCTTTCCTTAAGGGAGAATGACATACTTCACACTCATCTCACACTCAACGTATTCCACTTCACAATGAGAAAACAACAAACTCCAGCCACTAGATGTGACGGAGGGACAGAGAGAGGGGGCAGAAAAATTAATTCAGAAGTTATTCTAAGCCCACGATCAATAAGGATCCCGTGATCTACCAGGATCATCAGGGGATCTACCTGTTGACCAATTGAACATGTCTGCTATAAGATGAGCCCTGCTGGATCAAGCCAAATACCCATATAGTCTAGCCTACAAACAGGACATGAGTGCACTGCCACTCTCTCATTAAGAATACAAGAAGCTGCTAGATCTTGGTTCAGCATCCTCTCTCACAGTAGCTGGCCAGACCGGAAGCCTGCAGGCAGGACTTCCACTCTTCCCACTTGTGATGGCTAGCAACTGGAATTCAGAGTCAGCAGAGGGAGCTCCAGTCTGCAGTTCCGAGACTGGAACTTTTCCTCCCAAGTAGATTCCAGCAGGCACCTTCTGTGTCAACCTATTTAACTTCTAACTTTAAAACACAACAAAGCAACAGCAACAACACCACAAATGCTCCTCCAGCACCTTCTCTTACGAAAGAAGCAGCATTGCTGGAAAGCTGAAATTCTGTGTCAAGCAGCCAGCTGGAGACCTTCCTCCCTTAGTCTGGCCAGTGGCAACTCTTCAGAAGTCCATGCTGAAGCCTGCTGCACAATAGAGTAAAATGTGGACTCTTGGGCCAAACCAGACCTGACTCAAGTGATCTGCTACTAGGATCACATAAGGTTTTCATTTTGCTAATTACTGCATGACTGCACACTTCAGTCCCAGGGCAACAGTCTGAAGGCACATGAGATCACCAACTTGAAGAACCTCAGCAGGCCTTGGTCCAGTCATTGCTTGGATGAGGGGCTCGATGAGGGAAGAAGATATGAATGAATGAGACTGCTCTGAAGATGGGAAAGTGGTGATACAGGAGAGGGGTTTAACGCTAACCCCCAATGCTATAACACCCCCCCACACACACATTAAGGAGCTAGCAGATCCAGTGGGGTTGGGGAGAGAAACACAGATATATGCTGTTCTTCTGTCCCCCATCTCTCACACCCCACATGCGTTCGGCATCCGGTTCGGTCCTTTTCACAATTAATTCCCGATTGCAAGCACAAACTTCTTAAGACAGGAAGTGGCAAAGAGAAAGGGAGTGGGGCCTTGGGGAGAACAGACCTTTGGGAATATATAAAAGGCGCATGACATAGTGGATTTGCTGTAGCTAAACAGGTGGGTTTGGTCAATGCTTGGATGAGAGACTCCCTGGGAATTCTGTGTACATAATCCGGAGTTTCACAAAAGACAATACGAGATATAGATAAAAGGGAGAGTACACCAACTGCAGTGGCAATTCTCAGGCTGATTATCTCGAAACATAAAGCAAACACGCAACTAAACACACACACACACCAGACTATGAGCTCACTCATCTGAATTCATCCATTTGTATCTAGAAACGACCACGTTTCTCCTGTAGGACGTATCCTGCAAAGCAGCACCTGTCCATTTCTCAGCCAAGCAGCTCTCCACTTTGCATTTCCCTGCCCTGCAAGTCCCCTTGGCTCTCCCCCAAGTGAGAATCTCCCGGCCACGAGACACTTCGCAACCCACTTTCATGTAGCGCTTCGCAACAGTCTTTAAAACCACATCTGCCCTACTCAGCGAAGACTGGAGCAGCAGGAGCAGCATAATAGTTCTTGTGGCCCAGAAAACAAAGAACTAAGCCATGCACAAACCAGAGGCAGAAACCTTTTTGCTTGTCAACGGTTGCTAATGTATGATTCCATCTCTCTCCATCCATAGCTATAGCCTTATCATTAATACACTGCCCTGTACAGTACAGATATGACCATCTTAATAAATAAGACTGAAATTTATTGCATTGCAATTTAAGGACCAAGACAGGTAGGGGTGTTTGTGTTTGGGTGTTTGCTACGTATGTCTGATTTGGCCTACAGAATACAATAATTCCAGTGGATATTTTTTTATATATATAAAAATATCTCTTAGTCCTCAGAGAAATTTCTGGAGGGGGCTTTGCTGGTACAGACCTGCTCTTAATCTGCCCCCAGGCAGTATGAATTGTGCTCAACTAGATCAACTGCGGCTGCCAATTTGACCCAAGAGTTTTGCCCTTTTTGTTCCCAAATGCAATCCCATAAAGATGCAGGGCTGAGAGCATGCAGATCCTGGCCCCCAGGGCAGCCAGGCCCCTAAAGCGTTGCAGCAACCAAAAGCAACAGGGGAAAAAGGCATCACTTGCGCCACTATTGTGCAAGTGGGCATGGCTGACCAATGGAAACACAGAACAATGGCACTCCGCGCTGCAGCAAAGGGAGGTGCTGGCACCATTCTGGAAACCAGGGTGGCAGCCATAGAACAGGCCAAGCAAGCTCTGAGCCCTACCTTGTTGGATGCCATCTCACTAACAGAGCGGTACGTCTGAATGGTCTCCAGCTGGTCAAGGCACCAGTCTAGCTCTTCCAAGGTCTCTTTGGCCATCTGCTGGTATGTTTCTTCTGCAAGAGAGTCGGGTAAGAAAACAGCCAGTCAGGTTTAAGTGATGGAGAAGCATGAAGTTCACCCTTGGCCAGTTCTGTTCCTCTTGCCTCACCTGCAGACAGCTTAGGAAACACGTTGCCAAGGGATATGGAGGGCAGGCATAGGATATTGGGAGGCCAAGCAGCACAGACCCAGAGAGGTTTTCTTCTTTCTTATTATATTCTTTTAAATAACTGAAGGCCCCAAAGGTCTCAAAACCTATGACCTGCCAATCATCTATCGGAGCTCACCAGGGGCCTGATAGATTTTCTGTTTTCACTGCCTGCCTGGGACTGCAGAAAATGGGGCTGGGGTGGGGTTGCAAAGCACGAAGCAGGCGGCAGCAGTGGGTCACAACTGGAACAGGCCTGGTTTAAAGAAAAGGTGACCTGTGGAACTCAAGTTGTGTGGCACTGCAGCCAAGTCTGGTTGTGATGGGAGAAAGACGCGACAAAGGAACCATTTCAAGAAAACACACTTCCCATTCCACCCACTTTACCATGCTCCCAGAGAGATGTGAAGCTTAGCGGAAGTATAAGTATGCACAAGACCACCTAACTGATGTTATGAATGAGCTAATTTACCTAGGAACCAGGGCTGAAGGAAAGGGGGAACAGGTAGATGAGCCATATACATACAAGGCAGGAACGTAAAGCTGGGCATATGGTTTTGGACATCTAGAAGGGAATCACACGATGCTGTGAAGTTCAAGAGGCTGACTGCAGTTCCTTCTGCTACCAGGTAGCAGAAGTGGAAGCTCCAGAAACTTGAGGGAAACACCCCAAATGCACAGTCAATTATAAATGAAACCCTGGATGGTGTTAAAAACCCATCTGATGTTGGCCAAATGGTGGCACGCAGATTGCAAGATGAATTTCTGGCCAAAAGCACAGAGAACCAGTCAATTATCCTGATAACACTGATGGGGCAGCTGAGAGCAGGACTCACCTTAAGCCACCAACCAGCGAGTTCATGGCCAAGTTAATGCAGTCTTGGCCATTAGATGCTACACTCGTTCTTTTGCAGTCAGCCTTTCTTGCCATTACAAGCTCTAAGTATCCTGCTGTTTAGCCCACACCACAGCTGGAGGAATTAGGGGGATAAGTGCCAGGGTAATGGGTTATTGTAGTTTTAGATAACATGGCTTTGCCAAGAATATGCTCTTTGATTTAGCAATGTAGGAGTGCTGGGGTCTTCTTACAGCTCAGAACCCAAGCAGCAATGCCAGGTGTTGCAACTTTTTATAGAGGAAGACAAGTCAGGTTGATCATTCCCTTTGGGGCCAAGGAGGAAGCTGATGCTCAAGAGGTCAGGGGTGACTGATGGATTTGAAGCCTCAGGAACAAGCACCCGAGGGTGGCAGCTTTTGCAGCCATGTGGCACGGGGGTGCTTTTCCTTTTCCTTTCAAGGGTTGCATTGCACTCAGGGAGATTCTGGCCAACCCAAGATATTCTGGCACTTGTGGCAAAAATTCCAAAGGGTTTCCTCCTTCCCAACTAATTAACACAGGACACAGGTACTTTGGGAGCTCTCCTGAACAAGCGCCACTGAATTAAGAGGAGCTGTGCTCTTGTGAACGTCAAAGCCATGCAGAGAAGATTCCTGGTGGGAAATGCTCCATGGCTCCCATCTGCACAGAGATAGATGCATGAGTTGGCCACCTCATTGTGCCTCATAGTAAAGGCCACATCTGCACAGAGTGGCTCCAATTACCTGTTTCCCCCCGGAGACAAAGCCCCCTATACCGAATGTGGACCTTTGAGGGGTGATTTATATGATACATCGTGCACGCTGCAGATCTTGGAGAGGGAGCAGGAATCCACTGAACTTTTCATGGATCCCCAAACTTGATGCCAGGCCAATGAGGCTGACTCTGTGTATGTTCCCTTGTTTGCTCCTTCAGAACCAGAACCCTCTTGGTACTAAACACTAGGCATCCCATTACCTGAGAGCGTGGCTCTGCAAACAGTTGGCTGGCTGCCCATGGGAGACCTCCTAAGGGGGACAGAAGAGAGAAAAGATAGATGATCAGGCTCAGGCACCACCCTTTCTGGCACGTGTCCCTCCACCACACCCCCCTGGCCACTTGAGATGTCACCTCTGCAAGTTTGTAGGCAGCAAATGAACTTGGGAGATACTGTAGGATCCAAAATCCATTTCATCCCACTGAGATGGAAATGTGAGTGGTTTTAAGTGGGGATGTGAAGGGAACAGCAACCTGAACTCAGTTGATCTCTGAGGGACAAGGCCTCCTACCTCTTTAGCTTAACTGCATGCCTGCTAGGAGGAAGATACAGCTTAGCCTGCTGTACCAGGAGAATAACTGAAGAATCAATTGCCATAAAAGTGACTACAAATACATTGGTAATGTAGGTGTTCCCTTAGCAGCTGGGCAGATGGTATGTGCTTAGTTATATTGGTTTGCATGCATTGTGCATGTCTGAATGAGGCTGGCTTTCATTCTTGCTTTACACTCTATGACTCTGGACTTTGCCTCCGGCATTAATTAAACCCCTACAGTAGTTCTGGGAGGAAGGGAGGAGAGACAGGCAAGAGACTTATGTGGAATTACAGCATCTGCTCAGGCTCCAGCTCTTAAGGAACACAAGAGCATCAACTACAAGGGCTGGACTGGGGCACCAAGAAGGTATACCCCACCGCAATATAAAAGTTGAGTTCCTGGGGGTACAGGCAATTCAGAGTTTAAAAACTCCAGGAATAGCCAGAAGCTGATTTAACACCAAACCAGACCTGGTGCGAAGCAGTTCTCACCTCCTCCCAAACTTTGCTGTCCTGTTTCTTCCCGGGGAACACAGCCTCTGAACCTGGAGATTTCATTTAAAATATTTTAACTTGCCCTTTATCAATGCATAATCTCAGTGCAGGGTACAGTCAGCTGTAATGTTTGGATGCAACACAGCGCTTCCCACTTTTTCTGTAGTCCCTCCACAAGGGGACTGAGCAAACCAGGCGCAGTCTCTAGAAGTAGGTTGGTGGTGGAAGAGAAAAGATCCAGCTGAGCACAGGAAGTGCCATCTGGCCTGATGCACCAAACGAGAACTAAAATTGCAAACGAGTCACATTTAGGTGTTTCTTGAACACCCCAGAACTGGCACACACTTACTTGTTGGATGTTGGCGTAGGAACATTTGCCAGGATGGAGAAATTATTACGTACGCTCCTCAAACTTGCCAGGACCTATAGGAAGCCAATGGGCAGAGAGCATTAGGGCTATGAAGCTGCTCTTTGCAGCCAACAGAAGACCCCAGAACAGCGAGGGGGTGGGACGAAGAACAAAACTGAGGCTGACTCTCACCAGGAAGTACCAGAGGCTAAAAATGTGGGCTGGTAGGGAAGTGCTTTCTGCACCCAAACAGAAAGGTGTATGTCTCCTTGTACCGAGAAGCAAAAGGATTTCTTCAAATTATGAAGAACTCTTTTAAGCTATTTGCATCGCAGATAAGAGAATATGACAAGGAGCAAAGAAAACTTGGTCTTGCTGCTTTATTTCCTATTCATCATCTCCATAGGTGGACCAGAGAGAGATACAAAATCGAGAGAGTAGCATCCGCTACCCCAGCCCCAGTGTCTGGTTTGATTTGGTCTCTGTTGAAGAGATGAGGGCTTAAACATCTGCATGCAGCAGGTGGGGCACAAAATATTAGGCTGCGTATTTGCAACTCAGAATTTTGGCATGTTTAAAAGCTTTCAGAAGTAGGTAAAATAAAATTTACATCCCGCCCCACTTACACCACAAAGTGTGGGAAAGAAAATATGTGCTAATCTCAGTGCCTTTTTTTTTCTGGGGGTACTCAACGGTATGCAGTACCAGCATCCTTTCCCCACCAAATGTTTAAAGTGTGACACTTACTGTAAAAACTTCATGGTGAGTACCAGCACCTTTTTTTCTTAAAAAAGAAGCACTCCTAATCATTGTAACAATAAAGTATTGGATGTTCTTACACTTTAAGGAAAATAACAAAGCTCCATGAAATACAAAGTACGAATCAGCATGCAAGAATCTGAATTCACTGAATTCAGCTGAATGTTAAACAAACAAGAAAAAAAGGGGGGCGAAAAAGATATTGTTGAGCATCACCCCTCCCTGCTTTATTTTTGTTTTGTTTTTGCTTAACCTTCAGCCTGAAAAAATAAAGCTTCAAAGCTTAAGCTACTTTTTGATTTGGGGACCCTAAAGAAGGTATTGTGGCAGGAATTTTTCAGAGCACACAACTGGGACAAGCCGACTTTTCTCACCTAAGCACGCACAGGGACCTGGGACATACCTGGGCAAATGGTGTCACTATCAGGTCTTCAGTATGTCTGTGAAGGATAAAAAACAACACGAGTACAGATGACTTGTGGGGAAGGGATGACAGAGAACAGCAAAACTCAAACCCCACACTCCAAAACTCTCCCTGGCAGAAGGCTTAGATAATGTATAGCAAATGAAATTTCAAGCCTGAGGGATCTTTTTGCTGAGTAGAGGAAGCTGTGTACTTTTAATAAGGATGGATCAAAAGGCTTATTAATGAGATTCCAATCTATATTCTGGACATTACCAACAGCCCATCACCATTTTAGAAAACTAGGTAGTTTAAAACTTGGCTGCTCTTGTTTCTTTTATCCTACCTCTCACAAACCCTGCACAGGCATGAAGATAGGATTTGGTTGCAATTTGGTTCAGCTCAGCAGTTAAGTCATTACCCTGGAGGTGAAGGACAGGAGGACACTGTCCTGCAACAGGCAAATCTTCCATCTGACAAAGGGCCTTTTACTGTTCAACATGTCTGGGAGCTTTCAGCCCTTCCTGCTGCAAAGGTACCCGCTTGCGCTCAGGCCTGTGACAACTTGGAACCTACAGGGTCAGGCTACTGGGCTACCTAGATCAGCAAGACAAGGGACACCCCCAGGCCTGCCTGGTGACCCTGCTGCTAACTGTGCTGCTGCCACACAGGGTTATGAGCAGGAAGATAAGAAGCTGCCTTTGATCTATCTGTTCAGTACAGTCTACACTGACTGGCAGTGGCTCTCCAAGGTTTCTGATTAGGTAAACCCTACCTGAAGATGCCAAGAGACCGAGCCTGGGTCTGTCTGCATGCAAAGCACGGGCTCTGTCACTAAGCCACAGTCCCTCTTCAGTTTGTCTCTTTAGGGTGAGAATATGCTTGCTCTTGGGCGCGCAGCCCTTCCAAGAACGGAGGAGAACTCACGCTTCACTGGCGATGGATGAGTTGCGTGACATGGTCTTTGGAGACATGTCATAGTCGCTGTCCGAGCGGTAGAGGAAGGACTCACGCCTCTGGCTCTGCGGAAAGCTGGGGTGAAGCACCAGACCTGGGCTGGCCTGAGGATCCAGCGGGCTGCGCCCAGGTGACGGGCCATTCTCCACCTCGAAACTGCAGGAGGAGAAAAGGAAATATGTCAAGGAAGAACAGAAAATGGCCTGCTTGATACGCAACTATGCAAAAGACACACAATCTCCAGCAGCTGCCAAAGGGCGATCTCTGCTACTGTAAGATGGAAAGAATTTCCAGACTTGTATATAATTTTTAATTAAATTTTGTTTTACAATTTTAAATACTCATTTTTACATCCTTAAAATATCCACAACTTCTCTTCTTCTATTTTCATGGTTCATTTTACATATCACAAATCCCTGCATATTTTACAGAAACTATACCATTCATTATTCCATTATTCCATCCATCATAACTTATTTACACTGTTGAATTTATCTTAATGCTGCCAGTGTTTTCAGCCGTACACATATATTCAATAAATGTTTTCCAATCTTCTCTAAATGTATATTCTTCTTGTTCTCTTATTCTACATGCTAAGTCTGCAAGCTGTGCATATTCTGTCAACTTAAGTTGCCACTCTTCTTTGGCTGGGACCTCGCTCCTTTTCCATTTTTGGGCTATGGAATTTCCAGACTTGGCTGCGCCCAGCTGCTCTGCTCAGTCTTCCTTCTGTCCATAGAGAAAGATCAGCCTGAGTCTTTTTGGCAGTGGTGTCTGTTTTAAAGAAGTGCCTCCCCACTTTCTGAAACAAAATGTGAACCAAAACACAGCTACCCTTTGAAAGTCGCACTTATCCAAATTTTGCAATGCAACTCCAAAAAAAGTGCATGCAAAAATCAGGAGAAGTTCATACAAAAATGCTAAAGAATTTTTATGAGGGTTTTTTTTTTTAAAAAAAGCAAATTTCTGCAGAAATGTGGAGAATTGAATTTAAGATTCGAAAAATGAGACTGACAAGTCCTTCCATTTGTAGCTGCAAGACTATGAAACACTCAGGATGGACTGATGCATAGCATCTGACTGTTAACACTTTTAAGACTGGTTTCATTTGGACATGGCTGTTTTGCCATTTATATGGCAAATGTACAAATTGTTTTATATCTATAAATGTGGTTTTTTTCTCTTGTAAGCCACCTTGGTTAAATTCCACTGGAAGAACAGTCCATGCCCAAATGCTATATGTAAGCAAGTCAGATACAAGCTTGATAGCCTTCTAGAGCACTGTGAAACCCAAACGTGCAGTGAGTTCGCTACAAAGGTGAAAACAATTGCATTCCTCATTTCCCTCTTTGGGCCACTTTGTTCATCTAATGGAGTGACAGGGGTGTAGCCCGGATTTTTTTTGGGGGGGGGACAGGACTTTTTTTGGGGAGGGGGGAAGAACCTAACTATCTGTGATGTGATTTGTCAGTTAATTAAGTATTTTTATTTATTTACTTGATGGGGGGAATCCCCCCCCCCCGCTACACCCATGTGGAATGAGTAAGCAGTTGACTGTCACAGACTGTGCCACAATGTCAGCCTAGTTTTAGATCCTTAGAATCTTTACTTACTTACTTAAAAGGTAAAGGTAAAGGTACCCCTGCCCGTACGGGCCAGTCTTGACAGACTCTGGGGTTGTGCGCCCATCTCACTTAAGAGGCCAGGGGCCAGCGCTGTCCGGAGACACTTCCGGGTCACGTGGCCAGCGTGACAAGCTGCATCTGGCGAGCCAACGCAGCACACGAAAACGCCGTTTACCTTCCCGCCAGTAAGCGGTCCCTATTTATCTACTTGCACCCGGGGGTGCTTTCGAACTGCTAGGTTGGCAGGCGCTGGGACCGAGCAACGGGAGCGCACCCCGCCGCGGGGATTCGAACCGCCGACCTTTCGATCGGCAAGCCCTAGGCGCTGAGGCTTTTACCCACAGCGCCACCCGCCTTCCCACTTACTTACTTACTTTTTAATAAAAATTAAAAAGCAAGCTGCTGGCCCTCAGTGGAAATATACTTTTCAAAGCAAGCAGGCCATTGCTTCCAAGTCACATATACAATTGCTTCCATTTCCCATATGGCCACCACCTTCCCAAGTCACCTCTATTTGCACTGCCCTACCCTGCCTCTCTCACTATCACATAAAGCTTAGTTTTGCCCCAAACCTTACTCTGCGAAACCTCAAAAACCGGGTTTGGAACAGAAGCTGAGCATGCCTCTACAAGAGCAAGACCTGCACCAGTTTTATTGACTGGCTTTCCTCACTTTGAGGCTACTGAATTTTAGACTTCTCAGTACAGGACTCTGAGTTCCTTGATGAAAAACTGGGCCTTTCAGCAAACACACAGCATAAACAAGTACAGCTTTGATGGATTGTCTCTCTTCCTTCCTCATTTCTTAATCACTAATTGTATCTCCCCCTAGTGGTCAGTACACCACTGTTTTCTACATGTACTTCAGCTACTAAATCTACTACAATTCAGCTTAGACCAGGGTTTCCCAAACTTGGGTCTCCAGCTGATTTTGGACTACAACTCCCATCATCCCCAGCTAGCAGGACCAGTGGCAAAGGATGGTGGGAACTGTAGTCCAAAAACAGCTGGGGACCCAAGTTTGGGAAACTCTGGTTTGGACTGTCTCCCCTTAAGTGACTGGAGATGTTTGCATTAGCAAATAACTGTGCAGAGGTTAAACAGTACCCTCATCCGGCCCAGTGCGAGAAATCCGTGTGACTTGAAAGCTGTTATGGAATGACCATGCCCAGGCTACAATGCAAAAATGCCACCTGCAGCCACAGCAGGAACCTTTGGCCCTCCAAATGTTGCTGAGCCACAACTCCCATCATTCCTGATCACTGGCCATGCTTGCTGGGGCTGATGGGAGTTGCAGTCCAGCAACATCTGGAGAGCCAAACAAGTTTGCTAATGTCTCTTGATCCCAACCTGTAGCCCTCTCAAAAACTAAGAACTTCCTCTCATCAATTCTGATCCACCAATTCCTTGATATCCAAGCTTTCCAAGGTCCTTCAATCACTGTTGCTCCTTCTGGCATACCATTACACAGGTCTATTGCCCTCCCTGCCCTCCCAGTCTGAGTTGGTCAACCCACCAACAGACACGAGATACTGGCCTGGTTCACATGTCACACGAAACCAAACCATGGCTTAGCTCAGTGCAGCAGCAGAATGGCCAGAGATGAAGGCACAAAACAACCATAACACACATACCAAACAAGTGCAAAATCATTGCCCAGTGGAGTTCCCCCTGCCAACCGTGGCACAGATAACTCACAGCCCAACTAACCTTCGGATGGATACATGGAGGCTGGGCAGAGCCATAATGTTGTGGTTACGCAGTTTATGGTGCATGCCATGTGGACGCAGGTCGCCCTCCCTGTTGCTGGGGAGGAAGAGGTCTGGGTTTCCTGCTGTCCCGACCCAGATACCTGCAGGAGTCAAGCAGCCTCTTTCCCTCGTCCCGCCCAGAGTCGTTTCAGAGGATGTTGGTGCAATCAAGTTGAGAAACGCAGCCCAGAGTAGTAAGGGGCTGACTCACCACTCTGCAACCGAGAAGGGGGCATGAGGAGACAGGGCTGGCAGGGTCTCCCCCAGCACAACCAAAGAGAAGCTAGAAGTTCCAGAGGGAATGGAGCAGGTCCATCAGACCCTCCCAGAAAGAAAGGGGTTGGAGTTCCTCTTTATTGTGCTTCCAGCCTGTTTTGGTTTTGGTTAAAGATGAGAGAACAGCTCTTCCGGTACGTGTACACACACACACAGCGAGAGAGAGAGGTCTCTGCAACTGGATATCCATTACTGAGGCAAAGGAAATGTGAACTCCCCCTGAAATTCACTGCTTGCTTGACCGCAGTGCCTTATTTCAATACATGCAAATTCAGAAGGGTCCTAGGAAATGGAAGAAAACAAAGAAAGCCGAAAAATCAAGAGCCCGGTCAGGCTGCAGCGGGTGGGGGAGGGTGTTTCGGATCCATCAAGTGGTAAGCTTACTTTCAAATACAGTAGTTCCTCCTTCTGCTATGGACAGTGCACAAGACAAATTTGATAGGTGCATGTCAGTAACAGAAGAACTCAAATCCAAAGGAAAGGGAGAATGAACAGCAGCAGCATGCCCAATCCTTGCGGGGTTTACTACTGCATTATTCTTACACGGTGAATCTATTTAGCTTGCTCGTGGTCAGCATTCGCTGTCCCACATTTGAGACCTTGGCTCAGCCAATCTCAGCTTTGCCTATCTTTCATGCAGATCTTTATTATGAGGATAAAAACAAGAAAAGGAGGCACACATTCTGCGCTGTGGTCACTGAAGGAAGGTAAGAACACAAGAATTATATCTTATGAATTGTCTTATGAACTTATTTAACAGGATGTTATAGCCAATGTTCATCTCTTATTGTTAACTCTTCTTTATTTTTATTTTCTTTATCTTTTTCCTTTTATATTTTTGTGTTTAATTTTGCTGTAATTATTTGTAATGTATATGTAAGATGATATTTTAAATCAATAAAGATGAATTAAAAAATCGGGGGGGAGAATTCGTTTGTTGCATATTGTATTGTCACAACATTTGTGAGGCCACATTGTGTACACATTGTGAGGGTGGACCTTAAAAGGTAGGGTGCGGGAATAGCCCAAATATAATTATTATAATAAAAATAATAGCATATGGGACCAACATCTGAACATAGAATCGTTGGACTCCAAGTCCCATCAGCCACAGCCAGATGGCCAATGGTTTGGTATCATGAAATCTGTAGTACAGCAGCATCTGACAGGCCCCATGTTAGCTGCTCCAGTCTTAATACATCCCTTGGCATGGACAATCACATGCCATGCGGAAGCAAGCAAGCACGGCAAACGTGTGCATGCGTGAAGTGTTATTTCACAGGCAAGATCATAGCAGAATTAGACATGTGGTGTAAGTAAGCCTTGGGCTTACTGATTGGAAGGTTGGCGGTTCAAATCCCCGCAATGGGATGAGCTCCCGTTGTTCATTCCCAGCTCCTGCCAACCTAGCAATTCGAAATCACGTCAAAGTGCAAGTAGATAAATAGGTACCGCTTCGGTGGGAAAGCAAATGGCGTTTCCATGCGCTGCTCTGGTTGGCCACA